CGATAGATTCGTGCACTTGCGGGTATTTTTAATTGGTTGTTTGCACATTAATTTGTGTCCTTTTAGGAATGCAACACTACTCAATATCGCTTATGAAAGAAAAGGATGTCAAATTAGGAATATATATATGCAAGCCTTTCCTCATGGATGCAATGCAAGGCTAGCGTGGACCCCTTGGTGTATGTTGGGTTGAGGCCCATTTTCCATATCAGCAAGTCATGGATAACTTCAGCTGTATCCGAAAATATATATCAATGCGTCTATTCCTCTCTCATAATGTGTCACTTGAGAACCACTTCCTTTAGCCTTGCAGATTATGTTTGGCGTACGTTAATGAAACCTTTTTTTTCTCGATGCATGCATTTCCTTTGCATCTCACAATTAATTGGTAATTAGTGGGTGAGATACGTGGAAGGGGAGGAACCCAAGTTGGTCCAAAGACACCCTAAACAAGAGTCGTTTGGATTATTATTATTGGACCTTGGCGGCATTGGCTGCAGCTAATTCTTGTTCTGTAAGTTTTGGTGAGCTTTTGATGAAACTGCTGAGCCATTTGTTGATAATGTGCAGCTCTGTCTGGGTATAGTTTTTCTTCTATAAGTACGAGTCTTATCATATTCAATCAAGAAATCAAGAAATCAAGAAATGGGATCATCTAGTGCAGCTCTATTTCTGTTGGGATTGCTTCTATGGATAGTGGGCTAAAATGTGAAGTGCCTTAAAATTTTACATGTAAAAACAATAAAATATAATACCGGTAAAATATGAGCCCCAAGTTGCTCCAACTGACATGGTGGTACAATATCACTCTATAATTTATCCAAAGAAATTACTTTGGTCATTTTAGTAGGCCTTATTTAACAAATTTGTTAGTCTTTATTTATTCATTAACTACTTTTCTGGACCTCCTAATTAATGGTTAGTTTAGATTTAGTATCTAGTCAAGTAGCTAAATTATTAGAGTAATGTTATTTTTGCCCGAACTTTTTTCTCACAAATTTTCTTGATGTATATATAGGATATGCACGCTACGTCATTGCATCAAGAAAATAGACTTTGTATACTCTAATGTGATGTGAGAATACCATCTAAGTTGGGAAAGAAAGTTAGGAGAAAACGTGAGGCTAGTAGCATTGTCCTAATTCAATATATAAATTAAGACTGAGGATTTGAGATGCTATTATTTTAAATTAGTTACTAGACTTGAGAAAGACTAAGCAAGCATGTATCTTTGGCCAACCTTAGTTCAAAGAGAGGCTTTGCTCATATTGAATGTTAGATGATCATCTGGAAATGAATCTCTCAATTTCAGCTTCTTTTTAGTTTTATTCAATAGCTGTTATGTAGGAGATTTTTCTTAGTCTACTTGGAGATAGGTCTCTATTATTTTTTTCTTTTTAGTAGTCTAAATTAAAAGGGAGAAGAATTTCTCACACACACAAATGATGTCATGAGGGTTCGAACTTGAGACCTCTTGTCTGCAAGTCAAGGCCCTTTTCCATTAGGCTAGACCCGGTTGGCAGGAGACATGTCTCTTTTAAATATGGGATAGTAGTGTCATAGCTACTAGTTTAAAGATTTTGCGTTGTTTATATTCACTATGCATTAATTTAGTAATTTAATCAGGGTAATGATTTCCCCACTGCCTTTTTATCCACTTACAATCCCTTTTTAGTTATAAAATGGAGTGTAAGTGGATAAAATATAGTGGGGAAATCATCACTCTTTAATGGCTTATTATCACAAAGCGTCCCTGACGTTTGCGAAACTATCACATTGCATCCTTAAAGTTTTTTTGTATCACTCATGGTCCCTAACGTTAATATAAGTGCTCTCAAATAGTCCTTCTGTTAAAAAAAATGTTAAGTCTAGGGATATAATCGTCAAATCAATCCAAAATTATAAAATATATATATATATATAAGTTTCTCTCTCCCCTCTTTCTTTTTTGTTGCCTTTCCTTCTCTCTTCTCTCTCTCTCTTCCTTTCTTTTTTTCTTTTTTCTTCCTCTCCCCGAGTGCAGGCTTCTCTCTCCTCTTTCTTTTTTATTTCATTCCCTTCTCTCTTTCTTTCTTCTTCTTTTTTCTCTCTTTCTTTTCTTCTTCTTCTTACTCTCACCGAGTTCACTCTTCTCTCTCTCTCTCTCTGTCTTTCTTTTTTTTCTTCTTTCTCTCTCTCTCTTTCTCTCTCGCTATTTGACCCAGCTCCAACCGAAGAATCTATGAAATGGGTTTTGGTCCACTTGGCCCTGGAGCTTGTAGGAATGTGATAATTTGAGATTGGAAGTGAGAGAGTTTGGGAACAAGGAAAGATCATGAGAAGGGTTGAAGGGAGGCTGTGTGAAGAATTTTCACCTGCATATTATGGGCTCTGCACTGTTGGTGAAATGCTCAGTGCTGGCACTACCCATCTTGCAATCACGCCTCTTGATGTCTTGAAAGTTAATATGCAGGTTCGTTTTATTGATTAAGAGAAGGGAAGGAAATAAAAAAGAAAGAGGAGATAGATGACTGAACTCGGGGAGAGGAAGAAAGAAGAGAAAAAGAAAGAGAGACAGAGACAGAGACAGAGAAGAGAGAAGGAAAGAAAACAGAAAAGAAAGAGGGGAGAGAGAAACTTATATATATATTTTATAATTTTGGATTGATTTGACGATTATATCCCTGAATTTAACAATTTTTTTTAATGGAAGGACTATTTGAGAGCACCTATATTAACGTTAAGGACTATCAGTGATAGAAAAAAACTTTAAGGATGCAATGTGATAGTTTCGCAAACGTCAGGGACGTTTTGTGATAATAAACCCTCTTTAATTAAACCCAGAAACCAAGGCCCCGCATACCTTCAACCAAAATGAATTCATTAATTAAGACCGAGATGTTTTAAGTAATTTAGTTACTTGACTTCGCTACACCAAGTAGGCAAACTTCTGCATAGAATAAGAATATGGTCTTTTTTATGTTAAAATGTGGATCGACCATTGTTCACATGTGGAGGCTTCACTCTCATGTGCCCAAGACGACTTCTTTATTTATTTTTTTCTTATGAAAATTTACTATATAAATTCAAGTTTGGGAAAGGGAGATCAGATAAAGTGATCAAGAAAATCTTAGTTTCCAAATTACCTTAATCATTTGGTTTGTTTCCAAATTAAGTTCTAGAAACACTTAAAAATGTCGACATCTTCATCATCACTACAAACCTCGGTGTCACCCCTGCTGAAGCAAGCTGGTAAGCAGACTTAAACTTCTCTGTCTTAATTATTTTTAATCATAATTAATTTGCTAATTGTGCTCGTCAATTGTGTAGCTGTGGTATGGCCTAGCTTCCTCACCACTTATCTCATGACCATAATTGCTACATACTTAACTGGCGTGTGGGAGATTAGCATCACAGACGCTGCTGCAATCGTCAATATCTATTGGGGGGTGGTGGGCATATTGCCATTGGCCTTGAAGCTAATTGTGGATGCTTTCATTGGTAGCTATTGGATTATCTTCATCTCCAAGGTTGCCTTCATCGCTGTAAGTTTCTCCCTTTCACAAACTATTATCTTATGTAATTTCGTAAATAAATTGACGCATTTTGTACTTTTAATTCAGAACCATATACATGAGGGTTTAATATATTTTTGGATCATGTGCTTTGGCTCGACTCGTGTAGTTTAATTTAGTTAGCAATTAAGGTTAAAAGGTCAACTTATTTTTTTGGACGAAGTGTTGACATGAGATGGGCTTAAATTTTAGATGTCTCTAATGCGACGGAATTAAAATTTTATCCTTAATGGTTGGTTGAGTATGTCTTTGATCATGATTATTTTGCTAATTAGGTCTGTTGACACTGTCCAAAATCTGTATATATGTGATAATCATTTTGGAACATGCAGGGTTTAGGCCTTTTGACATTGTCTACAGTAGAGAAGATACTCCTTTACATATCACTACCTCTAATAGCTGTGGGAGTCTCACAATGGACACGTCATTAGTTAACGTCTGATCAAATGGTCAACTTAACGGAATGCTTAAATTGGTCAGATTTGAAAACATTATGGTGTAAATTGATAAAATTAAAATCCCATGGTCCATATTGAGAATGACCTCAAACCTTGAGGGAGGGAGTCTTTTGTCGTTAGTCCTAATAATTAATTGTTAACAAGACGTGGTAATTAACTGGCTAAATGCGATTAAGAAGCATGGTTTGAACCCCACAAGATCCCATGACCATCCCCAGACTCCCCCACTTACCTGTTGAAATGATCATATCATATTCTTTAAACAATTAATGTATGAAATGTTGTGGCTTATAGGTCTCCTTTAAATACAAGCCTCAGCTGGTGAGGAGGTGTCATACCCTAGTACCTCGATTACATGTTATGTTAACTCATTACTTTGAATATGCCTTGATTACTTAACTAATTTACTAGTCTTTGTTAACTCATTACTTTTGAGTGGTACTATTACAATATATCTGTATTATTCAATAGAACAAGACTGAGAATCTAATCAGTGCTTTTATTTAAGTAGACTATCACATGTGCCCAAGTTGCCTTCCTCTCTTTTTCATTTCTTCTTTAAAAGAAATTGACTTCTATTTTGAAGTTCCAGTCAATGAATTTCCAAAATCATATTGAAGTTTTTGGCTATAAAGCTTCCTCAATTGAACGAGAAAGAAGAGAGTGAAGTTTTTGAAGTTCCACTCATTTATGTGTGCTCTACTTCTTCTCTCTTCGAAGACTGGGCGTGGTTGAGACAGAGGGTTTTAGCGACGATGCGACGTCGATAATTCCCATGACCATGTTCTGGTTGCTACCTCAATATATTCTACTTGGGTTGTCGGAAGCGTTTTCGGAGAAGTGTATTGCGGGTTTTTTCAGCGAAGAGCTGCTGCCTGGAGCCAATGAGGGTGACTCCGCTTTCCTCGACCTCAAGAAGTGAGGTGCCATACTTACGTACGCTCCTAGAAATGTCGTTTGTAAGTAATTTCGAGAGCACCCGATGGAGGTTTACTAAGGCGGAGATCACTAGTAAGTCATACCATTCACTACTTGTTATATTAATCTTATTCTAGATCTAACAGTAGTAGAACATAATTAATATTTTAATTTCTTTAATTTTGCTTTCCTTGTGCTTCAATTGCAGTTCTGTCGGGGGCGGATATAGTGGCTGCATATGCCATTTGGACATTCGTTACATACTTAACCGATGTATGGGACCTCGGTGTTACACAGGCTGCTGGGATTTTCAACTTGTATTATGGCATCATCAACATAATGCCACTTTTCACGCAATACATTGTGGCTGCTTTCCTGGGCAACTATCGGATGCTCATGATCTCCAGTTATGCTTTGGATAATTACTTCTGGACCTTGGCTGCATTGTTTGCAGCTACTCTTGTATTGTTTGGTTTGTTCAGCTGTTGTCTGTCTGTTTATGAGTTTAAACGTCGGTCGACAGAGGATGTGGAAGGCAATGTCACCCCAGCAACAACAACAACGACATAGTTAAAGAATAAGAAAGAATATCGATGTTGTATTGAGTTTCAATAATTGTTGCTGGCAGTACTTGACTTGAGGATACATAGATTTGCATATGAATTGTGATTTTCTTACTTCAGTGTTTTAAAGTACTTCAAAATGCAACTGCAAATCCGGGGGGCTATCAGCAACTCCAGTTATGCTTTCGTCGCAGTAAGTTTCTTCCACTCCAGCTCAATTCCTCTTTGGTATCTTCGCCAGATACTAGTGGCATTTATATATACTAGCCCTGCAATTGGATCGATGTTATATATTTTATTTTATCAAACTGAGTTTTACAATTTTTTTTTTAATAAAAAAATATCTGAAAGTCCTTCAAATTTTGAAGGTGATTATCTCATACTTTTATAAGTAAATATATAACATTTTGTTCTTATGGTTTTCATTCACCAAAGACAATCGGTAAACTTTCGAATGTTTCACTTTTAAAGCCTTTATACATATAGAATACGCACTCACTTGGAAATACACCAGTCTCACATTACTTAACCAACAAGATCAACCTTACCGTAGGAGAGATGATGGTGGAGAAAAGGGATGAGGATGGGAGTGGCAGTCGATTGAAAGGAAAGCTGCTCTGCTGCTCCACTTGACCAAGGAAAAGTCTTTGTTAACTCATTACTTTTATAATATGCCTTGATTAATTAACTAATTTAATAGTCTTTGTTAACTCATTAACTAATTTAATATGTGTATTAATAGAACAAGACTGAGAATCTAATAAGTGCTTTTATTTAAGTTTGGGGTGTGATCACTATAAATTGATATTAATTCATGTATTATAATATAAGTGAATGACATGATACATAATTAATATTTCATAGATCTAAAATACACCATTAATAAATACATACATGTGCTATATAACACAGTTCTCAACATGTTATTGGTAAGCATATACATAGATATACTTATGATCATATAATTTTGGGGTTTAATGCAGGGGTTTGGTGCTTTGGCACTATCAACACCACCAATGCTTGGTTGGGCAACAGGTACATGCACCGCATATGAGGCGGAGTGCATTGGGCCAGTCCAAAAGATCCTGTTTTACACAGCGCTACCTCTAATAGCCGTCGGAATCACCGGTCAAGCAACCTCCTTAGTGCAGCTCGCCCATGACGAGAGACCACAATGGCTTGGCCCTCTCACATTCACTGCTCCAATAACCTCGCTGATCCAATCCGCCCAAGACCAGACTACACCAGAATCAGGCCTTTCCTCTTCCTCCGTAATGATCGCTCAACTGACTGCCTTATCGCGATCCGCCCGAGGCCAGACACCAGAATCCGATGGCCCCTTCGTCTTCACCCCGGGAATGCGCGGCCTTGCTCTCGCCGCAGTCTGCATACTCGGTTACGTAACCTCTTGGTCGATTAAATATGGCGTCTCTGCCCTAGTTATCATAATGGCAGCATTTAGTTTCGTGGCGCTGTCACCTTGTTCTTACAAACGCGTTAAAGGACAAGGGGTTCCTGTGAAGTGGAAAGAAACCAAAACCATCCTGTTGGTGACGCTTGTAGGCGCCTTGTTCGTGGCGATGAGCGTTGTGTCCGCTATTGGAAATACTTACTTCGTTCTGCAAGCGAGCCACTTGAACCAGAAGGTTTGGTTCGTGAAGTTTCCACTTCCCATTCTTCTGTTTGCGTATAACGAAGCCAGATCAAAGTTTGGGGGGTTTAAACGGTCTGTCGCTGCCATCTCCATCGGGCTCGCAGCGTCGATGGTGCTTGCGAGTCTGTGTTGTGTCGTAGCTGCGCTGGTGGAAGCCCGAAGGCTGGCCGTGGTTAAGAGCTCCGGTTTGATAGACTTGCCCGACGAAACAATTCCCATGACCATGTTCTGGCTGGTTCCGCAGTTTGTTCTTCTTGGGTGCGCTGATGGGATTTTTCGTAGGGCAATCGGTTCTCTGTACATGGTGGCATTGATATCCGATGAGGAGGCTAAAAATCTGGAAGCATCGAAAGTCCTGCAGTGCCAGTACGCGGGTTTCTATGATATGGCTGTTTATGGAGTGGGAGTTATGGGCAGCGTGTTATCGGTTCATGTGGTGGGTGAGATAAGTGCAGAGGGTGGGAAGATCAATTGGTTTCAGCACACCCTAAACACAAGTCGTTTGGATAATTACTACTGGACCTTGGCTGCCTTGGTTGCAATCAATCTGCTGATATTCTTTGTTTTGGCCGTATGCTGTGGTGCCTGTTTTTATGTCGTTTCAAGGTTCAAGGATGCGAAACTCCCTGCTGCCCCTGCCGTTGACGAACCACTACTACAATAGCATTGTTAATTAGCTAACGTATAGTCGATGACCAGCTGCAAAATAGGGAAAAGAAAAGAAAAAAAATGTCGATTTTAACTTTTGTTTAAATTTTGTGTTGTCTAAAAGATTGAAAGACTACCGCGGCGAAAGAGATTAGTCACTGCTGTCGGCGGTGGATACCCTTGGGTCTCACCTAAAAAAAAAATTGAAAGACTAACGCATTTGCAAATGCATTTATTTTAAGGAGGATGATATTTAGCATCCATGAAAAAGTTTAACATACATGAATATTGGTGTCCACCAATATAAGGTATGTATTGACACTTTTGGTGCTCAATATACTAAATCACACTCCTTTAATATATTGGAAACCGAAAATAGCAATACAAATTCTAATTTGGGACACAAATACCATTCCCATTGACATTTTATTAATAATGCAATTTCTTATAATCTCTATTTGATGATAATTTATATGAGAAATTATAAAATTTAAAATACTTCCTTTTGAGAGCAAATTTGCTCAACACAAGTCATGGAGGTAGAACATTTTTTTGATAACTTAAAAAAAAAATATTATTCTAAAGATTTATAATACCTTTAATATTACTTTAGTGCTATAGAAATTTAAAAAAAAAAGTAAAATGGTTTACTTATACAAATAATAAAAACTCAGTTGCGCGCTGGTGCGCACCGTTACACCGTATCAAGCACCGTGCGCTGCACTGACTCATTTTGGTCAACCCATCAGACGGTATTTGGCGCCGTATTGCCTGAATTCCCAATAGCTCGTACCATCTCTTCTCTTTCTTTGGGTTTTACTCTTTCTCGGAGGGTTTTAGACACAAGAAGAATCCGAATATCATCAGAGAGCACAGATCGAAATATCGCCATGGACGTCATCAAGACGCAGCAAGTATCAGCGAGGCTCATCGAGAAGGTGATAGTTCACCCACTCGTTCTGCTCAGCATCGTCGACAACTACAACCGAGTCGCCAAGGACACTCGCAAGCGAGTCGTTGGCGTTCTACTCGGAAGCACTTACAAAGGCGTCGTCGACGTCTCCAACAGCTACGCAGGTCCGATAATCTCAATGCCCTCACTTGATTTTACCGCATTATTGATCTTTTGCCCAAATCCCCATTTTTACTTCTTTGTTAGGTTTTGATCCGGAAATTTGTTGAATTGATTGTAGATTCAGAGATTTTGATATTTTTAGGGTTTTGTGGAATCTAAAATTAGTTTCGTGATTCGAATTGGGGTTATTGTTTTATTCTCCTTATGAGTGATTTGATGTGGGGTTAGGGTTTGCACAATAGGGCCAATGCATTTGGGCTTCATTTTGCAGTGGTTGACGATTGAGCTTGAAATTGTTGTCGGCGGTGGATACCCTTGGGTCTCACCTAAAAAAAAAATTGAAAGACTAACGCATTTGCAAATGCATTTATTTTAAGGAGGATGATATTTAGCATCCATGAAAAAGTTTAACATACATGAATATTGGTGTCCACCAATATAAGGTATGTATTGACACTTTTGGTGCTCAATATACTAAATCACACTCCTTTAATATATTGGAAACCGAAAATAGCAATACAAATTCTAATTTGGGACACAAATACCATTCCCATTGACATTTTATTAATAATGCAATTTCTTATAATCTCTATTTGATGATAATTTATATGAGAAATTATAAAATTTAAAATACTTCCTTTTGAGAGCAAATTTGCTCAACACAAGTCATGGAGGTAGAACATTTTTTTGATAACTTAAAAAAAAAATATTATTCTAAAGATTTATAATACCTTTAATATTACTTTAGTGCTATAGAAATTTAAAAAAAAAAGTAAAATGGTTTACTTATACAAATAATAAAAACTCAGTTGCGCGCTGGTGCGCACCGTTACACCGTATCAAGCACCGTGCGCTGCACTGACTCATTTTGGTCAACCCATCAGACGGTATTTGGCGCCGTATTGCCTGAATTCCCAATAGCTCGTACCATCTCTTCTCTTTCTTTGGGTTTTACTCTTTCTCGGAGGGTTTTAGACACAAGAAGAATCCGAATATCATCAGAGAGCACAGATCGAAATATCGCCATGGACGTCATCAAGACGCAGCAAGTATCAGCGAGGCTCATCGAGAAGGTGATAGTTCACCCACTCGTTCTGCTCAGCATCGTCGACAACTACAACCGAGTCGCCAAGGACACTCGCAAGCGAGTCGTTGGCGTTCTACTCGGAAGCACTTACAAAGGCGTCGTCGACGTCTCCAACAGCTACGCAGGTCCGATAATCTCAATGCCCTCACTTGATTTTACCGCATTATTGATCTTTTGCCCAAATCCCCATTTTTACTTCTTTGTTAGGTTTTGATCCGGAAATTTGTTGAATTGATTGTAGATTCAGAGATTTTGATATTTTTAGGGTTTTGTGGAATCTAAAATTAGTTTCGTGATTCGAATTGGGGTTATTGTTTTATTCTCCTTATGAGTGATTTGATGTGGGGTTAGGGTTTGCACAATAGGGCCAATGCATTTGGGCTTCATTTTGCAGTGGTTGACGATTGAGCTTGAAATTGTCATGTTTCTAACTGTTTTCATTTTTAATGTTCAGTGCCCTTTGAAGAAGATGATAGAGACCCTAGCATTTGGTTTCTTGACCACAACTACCATGAAGCGATGTTCTCTATGTTCAAGAGGATCAATGGTAACTTCTGTTCAACTTTTATGTAAATATGGACACTGGCTCTGTTTTCCTTCCCTCGCCCCTCTCTTCTTGGAGTTGTTAGTAGTAATCTCTGTAAAATGAATATCTGTTACATTTCAGCCAAGGAGCACGTTGTAGGTTGGTATAGCACTGGGCCGAAACTACGGGAGAATGATCTGGATATTCACAGTTTATTCCACAAGTAAGATCATGTAAATCAGTATATGCGTGCATGTAGCTGCATTGTGCATTGTACCCCGCATATGCTTTCCTTATTCTCTCTTTACTACTGTCCTTGTGTGATTCTATTCAATGCATGTCATTTAGATTAATGAATAAATATATTATATAATATATATACTCTTGGCAAGCTGGGGATACTTGCTTTTATTTTGTTTGTAAATCAAGTTCCTTATGGTATGCAGCTATGTCCCAAATCCAGTCCTGGTCATTATTGATGTCCAGCCTAAGGAGCTGGGAATACCCACCAAAGCCTACTATGATGTTGAAGAAGTTAAAGAGGTAACCATGGGTTTACACATGTTCTTAGCTGGCTACTATCCCTGATTACATGTGGAGGAACATAGTTGTTTGTTTCTACATTCCCGACAAGCTATTCCATATAGCCTCCCATGCAGCTAATGTAAAGGCTTGATAATAATTACAGAATGCAACTCAGAAAAGCCAGAAGATTTTTGTCCACGTGCCCTCCGAAATTGCAGCTCATGAGGTTGAGGAAATTGGTATGTCATAGGAAGAATAGTTACATTTTCTTGTTAACACTTTTCTCCGTTCAAAAACAGTAGAAAAGATAACCTGATTTATTATTATTATTTTTTTCCTCTGGTGTAGTTCAAAATCCTAATATATTGCTTGTGTTCTTTTGTTATTTATCAACAGGAGTGGAACACTTACTAAGGGATGTGAAGGATACAACCATCAGCACCCTTGCAAATGAGGTTCTTCAATTCAAGTTTTCTTTTTTCTTTGGGGCATCTTTTTTACTTTCAACTACAGAGAAAACCTTGAGAATTGAATCCTTATTAATGTTAAAGCATCTGCATTATAATGAAGTGGAAGGAATTTATTTACCTTTTTTTATTTACAGGTTACTGGAAAACTTACCGCTCTAAAGGGCTTGGATGCACGGTTACGAGAAATACGCAGTTACCTAGATCTTGTCATTGATGAGAAGCTTCCACTAAATCATGAGATACTTTACCATTTGCAGGTACACTTTTCATTACTTACTCTCTCGCTAGCTAACTCGTTCTTCCTGCATACTCACTTTGTTTTTGGGTTTAATTTTAGCATAAATTAGTCATATTAAGAATTTTTATGTTGAATTTCAGGACGTATTCAATCTACTTCCAAATCTCAATGTGGCAGAGTTGGTCAAGGGGTTTTCAGGTATACAAGCAAAAATATCTAGTGTGTGCGGGTCCTAATAATTTAGATAGCTCTTCTGTTTAATTTAGGCTTTCTGATGTATATTTTCCTTCTCTATGCAGTAAAAACAAATGACATGATGTTGGTTATATATCTTTCATCTCTCATCCGAAGCGTCATTGCCCTCCACAACTTGATCAATAACAACTGCCTTTTGGCTCTTTCTGAGCTGCACATAAGAAACACCCTGTAGGACCAGCACCACCTGTTAAGGTTCTGTTTTGCTGGCATACATTGTTGGTTGCTGTACATAAGCAAGCAAAAAAAAAGTGTGAAAAGTCAACTCCATGCAAGATTTTGGTTTCCTTTAATTTGTTCCTAACTATGCAAATAAAAGTAGGAAGCTATTCTTCTCAAAAAGGAAAAATATTAAACTATTAAACTATCATTCCTGTGAACAACCTCCCCACGCGGCAGTCAGACAATATGAGTTGGGGATGAGATGCTGTCCTCGCCTTTGTGCCTCTTGACATATGAGAATTAGAATACGAGTTTTAAAAGTTGGGAATGTGATAGTATGCTCTCGCATGAATCTCTTTAATTAATGAGAATTAGTGTATGACATTTAGAGTTGAATTCAAATTCTAGCCTTCTGGCAGATTAACTGTGCATCTCTATGATTTTTTCAAATCTGCTTTACAGATGCTAAACAAAGAACACGAGAAAGCTGAGGATGCAAAGCCAGCAACAGCCCCATCTGTCGCTGGAAGCTGAAAACCATTATTTGCTGGTGATTGGGGTTTCAGCGGTTGTGAACGGTGCTCTAAGCTTTCGTCTTGTAGCCAATTTGATCTGCTACTTTTGAGGCCTTTATTGAAGATTTTGTATTCTCAATATTGACAGGATTTGCAGGTTGAGATTTCTTTGTCATTGATTTGTTATACAATATCGGAACAGTTTTATCTTTGTCACTGATAAATTTCCCCATTTGCATGTGAAAGAACCCCATTTGCTCTTTTTACTGCACAAGAAAAGTGTAGTGTTTTATCGTTTTGGCTATTTTTCTTAAAATAAGTAAATAAAGTTGTCCCTAAATTTAAAATTTAGTTGTGAGAGATGTTGCATCCATTCCCAACCTATATGATGTTTATGCGGAATGATTAAAATGATTGGATTAGTAAACATCCCATTGGATAATTTATGTTCACTTTGATAACGGATTAATAACGTGCCATTAAGATGACCAAGAAAGAGCATTTGATGAATGGGCTTGGTTGTTATATTTCCTTCCAGCCCTTCCTGGATGGTGTTGAGCCCCGTCTCTCTTCTTCATGTGTATCCATAATCTGTCTTCTTTTTCATTCAACTTCTTCTAATTCAATTTTTAGCAAATGAAGATCGGCATATTTTCCAGAACGATAGAAAAAAGAGATGGTGTTACCCGTTCAAAAAAAGAGGTGGTGTTTGCCGTTAGAAAGAGGGCTGTTGTTACCGTAAATCTGGGGAAAAAAAAGTCATACCTGATGTGGCCTATCAATAAGCATTAGATTATTTGAATACTCTAGATTTTGCGAAATACGGATAAATGCAAGGACTCTAAATTTAGAGGCTTGGGATTCCGTTCAACTTCAACCAAAGCTAGTTTAGGCTAAGTTCCAAATACAAAAAAAAAAATTGAAAAAATAAAAAATAAAGTTTCCGACAAAGAAACTACATGTCGTTGAATTGATAACTCTCGAAATGAAACGGCACACCGTTATTTGCACATCTTCCTCACACAAACCCATGGTGGCGGCACGGCCACTTAGCCCTGGCCTCTGGTAAAAGCGAAAAGTTAGAAATCAGTGGAGGGTTTAGGGTTTTGCGGCACTGCGTGTAGGAGCACGGCCAATTTCTGAAATTCCCTAACTCCATTTATTCTGTGAAATCAAAGAAGCTGAAAAAACAAATTGAGAGAATAGCAGCAGATTAGTGGTTATTGTTAAAGAGAGATGGGGAAAGCTTCAAGGGATAAGAGGGATATATACTATCGAAAAGCAAAAGAAGAAGGTTGGCGTGCTCGCAGTGCCTTCAAGCTTCTTCAGATTGACGAGGAATTCAACATATTTGATGGAGTGAAGCGGGTCGTCGATCTTTGTGCTGCCCCTGGTAGCTGGAGTCAGGTACTGATATTGATTTTGATATTGCCCTTTTGCTAATTTACTGAAAACCCAATTCGCAGTTCCTAATGTTGATGCGTTTTGTGGTTTAGGTTTTGAGTAGGAAATTGTATCTCCCAGCAAAGAGTTCATCAGATTCTAAGTAAGTTCTCAACTACTGCTTATACTAGTAGTACAACTATTCTTCTTAGTAAACCAAGACCCTAACTTTCTCTTTTTATCGATATTTTCAGGGATGGTGATGTGCCCCTTATTGTAGCTATTGATTTGCAGCCCATGGCTCCAATTGAAGGTGTTATTCAAGTGCAGGGTGATATAACTAATGCTCGAACCGCTGAAATTGTAAGGATCAGCTACATTTCTACTTCCCTAGCTCTACAGTTTTCTTTCTTTTTGTATATGGTGATGTGTATTGGCATCCATTTTTTTATCTGACTTTTTGTTGACCCTTTTAGGTCATCAGACATTTTGATGGTTGCAAGGCTGACCTGGTTGTGTGTGATGGTGCCCCAGATGGTATGCTGACATTTTTAGTTTCATGGTCCACCTTCTTGTTACTGCTTTCGTTTATAATTACTATTTTCTTAAGCTTTACTTTATTTTGATTTGCAGTTACTGGCCTTCATGACATGGATGAATTTGTTCAGTCCCAGCTGATACTAGCAGTAAGTGTCCTCTAAGTCTGTACAAGGCAATATATCATCATATTTTTGCATGAAAGTTACCTGATTTAGAAGGAATATAAAATACACCTGGTTCCTTTGCTCGTTATTCTACATCACATTCTATCTTTCTGGCCTAAATTTGTCTAAAATTTGTTATGCTGTTGAACTTTGTATTATAGTGGATCTTCCTTGCAGGGTTTGACGATTGTTACTCATGTACTTAAAGAAGGTGGAAAATTTATTGCAAAGATATTCCGTGGAAAAGATACAAGTCTTCTCTACTGCCAGGTAGTTTTTAAGCTTCCATATTTGGGTGCCTAATAAAAGTTGTTAAAAATATATATTTCTGCAGTGTTTTTATATGTAAGATGAACCATGACTTCCATTGAATTAATTCCCCGGTTATTTTGCTGATTTTGTTGCAGCTGAAACTATTCTTCCCCTTAGTGACTTTTGCAAAACCAAAAAGTAGTCGCAATTCCAGCATAGGTAACAGATTGGGCTTCATTTTGTTTTTCTTGGTAGTTTACATTCTCAGTTCTTTTCAATCCCTACTAATCCAGTACATTTGCCGTGAAATAGGATCAATCATCTTGTCAACTCTTTCTTAATTAAAATTGGCTAAATTAATAAAGAATCCTGGTAATTTCTTAAGGTTGTATGGGCAATCGAGTTAAAATACAATTCTGTTCTAGATATACAAATGCTGCATGAAATGTGAACTGAATTCCATTTGATATCCAAATCCCCTTCCCTTCAGAGGAGCATACAGCATGTGCATAATAAAACTTACAAAATGCTGAAAATTTAACATGACGTTGTTGGACTGCTTCTACTGTGTCCAGACTAATGCTGGTACTATTTATCATACAGAGGCATTTGCAGTTTGTGAGAATTATTCTCCTCCTGATGGATTCAACCCTAAGGATCTGCATCGCCTCCTAGAAAAGGTGGGAAGTCCCTCGGGTGCAGATGATCTAGGTATGTAAAATCTTCTACATTGAGATATGCGGAGACTCTTATATTCACAAAGTTACAATATCAATGGGCATTCTTATAATTCTTTATGGTGCTTGATGGTCTGAGTCTGACAAACAGTCACAGTTCAAATATAGATCAACAGCTCCAACTTGTTTTGTATTTTGAATAAGTTACTTGTTCTGATAATGCAGTATTGACTTCATTGCATGCTTTAACTTTGCAGATTGCAGTAGTGGGTGGTTGGAAGGGCCAAATAAGGTGTATATTCCATTTCTAGCTTGCGGTGACCTCAGCGGATATGACTCTGACCGTTCATATCCACTACCTAAAGATGCCCAGGGAACTTACCGGAGCTTGGATCCTGTACAGCCCCCAATAGCCCCTCCTTATAAGAGAGCTCTAGAAATGAAGAAAGCTTCCAGCCAGGGCATCACAGAGCTTGAGAAGCTTTCTTTGGAGTCATGAATGCGATCATTTATACGCAGGATCAAACAACTTAGGGATCCTTAGATATCTAATTTAAACTACAGATGGGCTTATGTCCCGATTTTTAAGACAATTATTCATCCCTTTCTTGTTGTAACAGTGTGTATGTCTCACAGTATCTGATTAATCTTGATATAACTATAATCTTTCTGAGATTGGAAATGATATCATATGGTATTCAAATATCAGTAGACAAGATGCTCTTTACACTTCCATTGGAAGCACTGCAATGATAAGGTGGCTTTCGATTGTGTGCTTTTGTGCTCCTAATTCCTAGGGTCACTCGAATCTACAGGGCAAATTGAGCTCTACTTTGTTGGGTCAAAAGATTGAGATAAAGTAGATGTAAAAAGTGGTATATTCGTTGAGTTGAACAATAGTGGTCCTGAGACAGCAACCTGTGAATTCTGGTAAGGTAAAAAGAGGCACGCGACTCTAGGTCCACAGCCCATCCTGCCCTCAGAGAATTATCAGTATCCATGAGTTGGTAACTTGGTATCATGTTTGGTGCTGGTAAAATATTCGATAGCTTATACTTTCTACTTGAAGAATAAGCACAGTAATTTCTAGTTAGACTTAAAAGATCGAATCTTCAGAGTTTGGTAAACTCTGTGGCAAGGTGATGTGAATTATGCTCTTACTGGCATTTCTTAACATACCATGTTAGAGTATTAATTTACTAATCGGCAAAGCGCTCGTATACGAAGAGGTTAGAGATTATATATGTATTATGTAATCAGTGATTACCGAAAATAAAATTAAAGAAACCATGTAACAAACTTCACACCAGAAGGTGTGATTTGCACTCATTATGTATCTTTCTACATGTTACAGATAAATTTTTCATGCAAACAACAACCATAAACTAAGCTCTCTTTTTTTTCTTCTTCTTTTTTCCTTTTGTATGAACATTAATGTAATATATTCTACAAATCTCTAATTAACAAGAATTTGAAGTAACAGAATTGCTCCTCTGCAAAGAAGCAGCAGAGTTCAAGAACTCGATGCAGTCCTCTAAAGCTTCGGCTCGATGAGACTCGATGGGATCAGATACAGAGCGTGACCTTGTCAAGTGGTTGGAGGAAGACACCTTCCTTGAATTCCTCTTTCTTGCAGATATAATACACACAGCCCTTGCCACCTTAGCCCTGAGTGTGCGTAGTAATTTGATGGGTGCATGGAGTTCTGTTGTATCTTTGAGCAGCCTGAAAGCCCAAATTCTAGTGACCCTGTTCCTGCTTCCATCTACTCTGGTGCCATTGCTACCACTCTGTTTCAGATACAGAATCGGCTTCTCGTTCACATCAGGACTGAAACTCACCCTCTTACTAGCTTTCCTCGACATATTTGACCGGAAAACAAAGAGAAAAAAGAGAGAAAAAAACACCAAATTTGGGAGCAGAGGAGGCAGTTGGGTTGGTTATGAGGAGTATTTATGATGGATTGGTATTGAGGAAAAGAGAAAAGGAAAAAGAGGACACAGAATGAAAAAGAAAAAGAGAGGATTGGATTGGATTGGTTTTTCTTGCTGGAAATGAAATGTGAGAATGGTTGTGTGTGTTTGTGTTAAAGCATATGGATATGGTGGTTTTGACTGCAAGACCAAGCAATAAGCGTTTGGTTCACGCACTCATTGGGTTGATATATGTATATGTATATATATATATATATATATACTTGCATGAGCCATGCACCTGCTGTATGTGATTAAATAGATCATTATTAATCCGCATTCTCTGCAGGCCGGCCTTTGAACTTTGGTTATAATTTGATTAATTATACTTCGCTAAAGGTGGTTATTATTACCAATCAGCTGGCACTAAGAGTAGGTATGAACAGCATGGAAAATGAATCTACTAGTTAACTTGGAAGATTAAAAAGAAAAAAGGCAAAAAAAAAAGAAAGGGTTTTGGTCAAAAGAAAAGATGGAAGTGGTGGAGCCATAAGAGGAAGACAAGAGTGGAGCAAGAGAGACAAGCACTCGATACTCTTCTCTTCATCAGAAGTTTTGCTTTTTAGGTGCTGCCTGCAGGGCCTACTCTCCATTTTCCTACAGTTGTCCATCAGAATTGCAGAATTGTGGAGAGAGAGATAAAGAGAATCTGTTTGAATTTTTGAGAGAGAGAGAGAGAGAGAGGAGCATAGATTTGGGTTTGGCGTGAATATGAGGGAACTTTTACTTTCTTTTCTCCTCTTTTTTAACCTCTTTGGCAGAGAGAGAAAATTCCTGTGTCGCAGAAAATGTTTGCTGCAGTGGTTCTTTTGACTGGGGGTGACAAGAAAAAGGCTTCCCAGTTCCCAATAAATGTGGATTTTGCATATTCAGTCAAGAACTCACTCTTGTTTTTTTCTGTACTATATATAAATAGTCTATGCAGAGATCTTTTCCTGCTAATGTGGGTCTTCCACTAATGTTTCCTCCATGAATTCTTCATTCTTGTATGAAATCAACATTTCACGTTTTGGGTTCAAACTTATCTTCTTTGAATCATGACCTGTTGGAATATATGTCACTTTTTATTTCTAGCCTTGGCAGTCATTGCATTATGGAGGAAAGGAGATTGGTCTGAGGTTCTCTGTTCAAAGATTGATTATTAAGATGCTGCTGATATCATAGGGGTAGGGGCCTAGGTCCTCTTGGCCGCGTGAATTGTACAGATGTCATGTTATCTCCAACTCAGGTCTATGGACACATTTTTATTTTTTCTGTCGAAATCTATGGACACATTCAAGTATGAAGCTTTATCTCAAAAGATATCGATACAACTTAGAAAGAAATATCACTTAACTAACCCTTTCGAGACAATCTCTTTATTTTTTAACCTAAAACAATTGTATTCGATCCACAAATCATAACAATAGATACCTTGGTGGACCACAACTAAGTAGACTTAACATCAAGTTGCCAAAAGATTCATAATTGCAAACATACAACACTTTAAGGTTTCGATTCCCTCCTCCCCAAACATTGCTTGTATACTTATGAAAAAAAACATACAACAGTAGGGTCATGGACATGGGCCTGACTTCCATCTAAGTTGGGCTAATCTTTAAACATTTTAATGTTTTTTCAGAAGTACATCACATTCGATTTCAGAGGGCCATAGTTTGATGGGCTCCAAGCTCATCTCCATTTTCCTTCTTTCTGGCTCTGAGAACTTAAACTTCCACTCACATTTTTGTATTTCTAGTAAATGCTTGTGTTTTTAATCCTAAAATAACAGCAATAAGCAGACAAAATCTTAAACTATACAACAGATTTAACAGGCTAACCACTAGTTTGGAGCCATGCACTTCATCCACAAGTGTTTTCAAGTTCATTTCTGCAGAGGACAGAATGCAACATGTAATTTGTTACCAAGCATATTTCTTACGACTCTCATGCTATCCCAAGTTTTGTTTTCTTCACCTAAATGGGAAAGCCTTGCCAAACAGACAAAACCCCAAACTCAGTTTGAAGTTGCTTTCAAGCAACTTGTTTGATTGTGTTATGATCTCCTAATTTAATATCTACCAGCATATCTCCATACGTATCAAATTTGTAATAATGACTAAGACCGCTTAAAAAATTAAGATAATACTTGTTTTGAAGTTGGATTAGTTCAACGTTATTTGGGTGCCACTTGAGAAATCGAATCAACAATAAAGGGATATTCAAACGAATATGTTATGATACTCTGGATATTTTGTAAGGCTTCCATTCATTACACATTGAACAATAGAATTAAGGGATTAACACAAGGGTTAGAACTATGACATATCGACATTAAGAAAATAACAATATTAAATTATATTTTTTTTGTATCATTTATGATTCAGAATGACCTTGTGCGCATAAACGGCTTACGCTACATTTTCTTATTAAAATATTCGATTAGATTGTTCTAAAAGAAGTCATATTTCAGACTCTAGAATGAATCATTGAAGCAAATGAGCAGTGTGGAGGGACAGAGCAGCTGCCAAAACGTCATGAAAATTCCAGTTGTATAAAAGTACGAGCAGAACAAGTGCACGTTGGATAATTGGGTATGCATGCCAAACAGAGACAAATGAGGATTTTGCATTTGAGATTTCAGAATGTAATGCATATCAGTAAATCCAAATTTACACTCCAAGTTTTCACCTAGTTGTCAAAAGTAAAAAATTAGTAAGGAATATTGGTGGGGCCCCTTTTTGTTTGGTACTATGCTACTACTTAAAATGGAGAAGATGAGATGCTTGATGGATATGAAATCTAAGCAATGTTTTACAGTTTGACTGACAAAATAGCTAATCCAATATTCAGACCCAAAAAATAAAAACAAAGCTAATCCAATATACAACCACACAAAATTGTAAAATAATGCTCATGCCACAGATGCCCGTTAAATTATGGGTCCTTTTTTCCAAGCTCAATTTTCTCCTAAAAATTGATTTGTGTAAAGATTTTTTCTTCTTTATTATTATTATTTTTTTTTGCTTGTCCAATTGTGCAACCGAAAAGATAGGCATGCAAGAAATTGACCACAGAGAAGAGTGTGAGAAATTAGAAAGGAAGAAGAAAGATTCAACTCAAGTTCTCAACATATCAAGCCAATACGGAATAGGGGCATATACTGAGAGAGCTTCCATTTGATACCACCATGAAAGAATATCCATTGCCAAAGTCCTTCAAGGTCTTCTAGATTCCTTTGCACATAATTCATCCCATCTTCCACATGCACCCACTTTTTTTTTATGATACTCCTTAATTCCATGGAATTTATCCCTCAAGTTTTCTAACAAAAGCCCCTTCAAGTTATACCTCCATACAATTTATATTACAATTTACGCTACACTCAATCATCATGGTGACCTGTGCTTCTCTCTCTATAAATCCCTCTCTCTCTCCTCCCTCTTTTTGCACAGCTACCCAATCATCTTTTTCCTCTGCCTTTTCTCATTCTCCATCCCATGCTTTCCTCAGATTCCCAAGCTACCATTCGTCAAGAACAAAACCCAGTAGCCTTTACGGTCGAGGTGTTTGCTTTTGTTACTCTGAGAAGCCAAAGGGTTTGAGGGAAAGTAGAAAACTTGAGCTTAAAGCCAGCAATATGACTATTACAGAGGTCGGGCAAGAAGAAGAGGAAGATGGTCCTCCTCCGTATGTTGATTCAGAGATAAACTCAAGACCT